GGTAAAAGTTTGAAAAAATTATGGTCCCTACCCTGTAGTGCTTATTAAAGTTTATTTGTACACTCTAGTGTGTTACTAAGGGTTCAAAACAGTTCGATATTAATAAAATATAAAACTATAACAGTAATAGAACCGTGTTCCAAATGTGATCGATAGTGTTTCAATGTCATTCTAACAAATTTTAAAATTTGACACAATAGTAATTTTTTGAGTATTTTAGAAAAATGAATTTAAGGTCTAATCCGGATGCCTAGGGGAAAACTCAAGGCGGATGCATAACTCACAAGTATAAGAGTATGTTACTTTATAAAATTTCGAGAACAGTTACTATACACAGTTTTGAGGTAAAGTGATTAAAATCTTGGTGGGAATGAGTAAATAAATTTTGGTTAGCATGTTACGATATACACGATATTTCTAACATAGATATAAAATTTGTATACTCTTCGTCTAGAATTATTTTTGAAAGATCCCATTTTATGGAAACCATACAATATTGATTTTATAGTAGTGTGTGGGTAAAAGTTCAATTTATATTACTAAACGCTTGACATATATTTAATTCAATTTACAAGTGTTCGTCACTGGTTTTAAAATTTTTGTCACACAACATTGCTTCGTGGCTGCATTATCCAATTATAAACTAACGATAGTAACCAGACTGAATTTTATTAATTAATGTTGTTAAATTAAATTGTGTTTTATAAAGCAACGAAGTTATTGTATATAATTTTGCTAAATATGATCTTCTCACTTCAATGTAGTTGTTGATAAACTTTCGACCTCAAGGCTGATTCCGTGTTCAAATGAGGTTGAAATCGATTTCCGTAAAATTAAAAATAAGGAGAACACAAAGGACCAATTCATTTCACACATTTCACGTAAGATTTACTCAACAAAATTTCGAAATTGCTTGATAATTTTTTTGGAAAAGACGAATTAATAAATTTTTGTAAAATTTCTGTAATCTCTAAATCAATGTTACTTAACACGGTTTATTAAAAATTGGTCCAAGGTTACTTCGACAGAACTTCCCTTGCTCTTGAACTACAGTCCAACAAATTCCGCTTCTTTGAAAAATTATAATTGTTGTTTTCTGATAACCTGTATATAGTAGTGGTGTAAATGACACCTCGAACCACCTGCGCCGCGGGGGCGCCAATTCCAAGGAGGAAAACCAACGGAAACGAGTGTATTATTATTATCAGTGTACATGCTCAATTTCTATTGTTTGTGTGTTTACATCGAAAGAATCTCACGTAGAAATTTGTTTAATTTGAATTCGTTGTCTTCTCAAAACAGACGTCTAAAATTATTATTAATTAAGCCACAATGAAACAAAATGTTTTAAATATGATTATTATTACATATTCTTATTTGGTCATAATTAAATAAAGCTATGGGAATTCTCACATTTTCTGGAAAATGAGGTAATTTAATCAATAAAAAATTGGTCGAAGGCTATAAGTATAGTCCGACAAATCCAGCTCTTTAAAAAAATTATAAAATTTGATTTTACGATTTTTGTTTTGTGATAACCACTGTAAAGTAAAAACTAGCGGCATAAATAACACCCCCGCAGACCCTGCATCATATGGACAATATAGAATAGAATATATTTAAAAACTAACGGGATAAAATGTTCTTCAGCACTAGGTAATAGCAATATGAAACTCAAGTGTTTATTTATGTGTACACATCGAAATAATGTCACGTAGAAATTAGTTTGATTGATGAGTTTGTCTTCTTAAAACAGAGGACTGAAATTATTATTAATCATATATGTATAGACGTGCGTATTCTTCACATTTTTGAGAAAATGGGGTGACTCGTTTTTAATTTGACCAATAAAAAATTTGTGATGACATCATCACCTTGGATAATACTAGCCACATCATAAAAGAAAAGTAGTTACAGCGTATTACCAAGCCAAGAAAATAAAATGGATACAGACATCAGACAGACAGACAGATAGACAAACAGACAGAAGGAAACGGGAGACCAGTTTTTTCGTACTTAAGAGCGTCTTCCTTAGCATATTCTCGGGAAATAAAAAGTAAAAGGCCAAGTTCGGAATCGAACCCACTACCCCAGGTCGTACGGCCTCCCTGCAGGCCGCCTTCTCCCCCATATAGCCACTGCGCTACGGAGATCTACATCCGGTGTTGGTAATATAATGTTATTATATCTTGCAAATGTTTTCGCGAAAATTTGAACGTTTAGCGAAAAAACTGAAAGCGGATTCGTACACTACAAGTACAGAAGTATATTTGGGTATCACATTCAATTCATTTTAAAATACAATTCATTGAAATGACGTCATCAAATTGTTGGTGGGGATCATTAGCCAAATTTTGGTTAGCATCTAACCATCTACATGATATCACTAATATACATGCAACATTTTACAATAATTGGTCCAGCAGTTTCGGAGATTACGTGACTAATAAAAATGGATACAGACACCAGACAGACAGACAGACCGACGAAAACGGGAGACTACTTTTTCGGACTGTATGGGTCATGAAAAGTTGAGAAAACATAAAAATGGCTATTCGTCATTTTTACTTCTTTAGCTTACGCTCGGGAAGTAAAAATTTAAAGAACTTATTATGTAGTTCGTAGACATTTTATGACCCTTCGAATATTAAAAATAGGTCTCCCTTTTCCACCTGTCTGTCCTCTGTCGTCTGTGTCAATATTAACTATACAGTTAATCTCCGAAAATATGGTACAAATTGTTGTTAAATTTTAAAATACTTGCTAGAATGTCGTGTAGATGGTAAAACTCTAACATTTGTCTAATTATTCCTTCCAACAATTTAATGACATCACTTCAAAATTTTGCATGGTAAATGTTATTTAAACTTGATAAAATAACATACTCCTGCAGTTGTAGTTTATGAACCTACCTTTCCTTTTACCTTGGATATTCAGACTTCGCCCTCCCGCAAAAAATCAAAATTATTTATGTAATACCGTTTTTTAGTAAGATAACAGGAATAATGAACAACCGGTCATAGTTTAAGACACTGGAACATGTACTAATAAGGCGAAGGTTGCGGGTTCGATACCCGATGGACCACTTTTTTTACTTCTCGAACGTAAGCTAAGGAAATATTCTAACGGTGTCCATCCGGTGAACGGCTACTTTTATGTTTTCTCGACGTTTCATGCACATGAAAAGACAGTTCTCTCGCCTGCGCCTGCCTGTCGTTTGTCGTCTGTGTCGATATTTAGGTATTACACGAGTAATCTCTGAAACTACTGGATCAATTGTTGTCAAATTTTGTACATATATTAGAAGTATCATGTAGATGTATTTTAGGAATAATAAAGTGTATATCGTATAACGATACTCAAAATTTGTGTAATCATTCTCACCAACATCATCCTAAAAGTTTGAATAGTAAATTTTATAAAATAACATACTCTTACATTGGTGATTTACGAATCCGTCTTGATTTTCTTACCTTCGACATGCAGATTTTTAGAAAAAAATTGTACACTACTTTACAATGTTTAACTTTGAAACTTCTACTTCCACTTTAACACATGTCTTTATTTTAAATATCATAAAATATAAAATTCGCGAAATCAAGTTTGATAATCTTTCGAAGACTGGATTTGTTGGATTGTACTTCAGGGACGAGAGAAATCCTGTCTAAATAACCTTAGACCAGTTTTTACTTTCCGAACGTAAAGTAAGGAAGTATAGTAATCTGTCCGCCTGTCTGTTTGTCTGTGTCGATTTTTATTATACAGATGATCTCTGAAACTACTGGATCAATTGTTGTCAAATTTTGTGTGTGTATTAGAAATATCATGGTAAAACGCTACCCAAAATTTGGCTGATCATCTCCATCAGCAATTTGATGACATCAACTTAAAGAATTCTACATTAAAATGATTTAAATGTTATACAATAATATACTCCTATACTTGTGAGGTACGAATCCGATTTGAGAAAAATAACACACTAAAATGACATTTTACCAGTAACGTATAAACCTCCGTTGAGTTGTGGCGTAGCACGTTCGATGCCATACTTGGCCGTTTCTTTTTTTTTCTCTCACGCTGTGACAAGTTGTTAATAACGCCATTACAAATTTGTGTTATGGAAAAACTCACTTGAAATATATGCATAGTATGCTCTTTTTTCCCCCATTTTGCTCCATTGTAGCTTAATTAATGAAATTTGTCTTTTCCTCTCTTTTGAGCAGACAAAACAATGAAATTTCATTTACTTTTAACGCAGATGCTTATCGTCGAAATGCACTAATAGTAAATTCCTTCGAAGTATAAACATAAACAGTCGAAATTATGCACGTATGAGACATTGAGAAAACATTTTTCCGTGGGTTATTTATTTGAAACATACTACAATTTGTCTCTAGATCTATGGACTTCGCCTCGTTGCAATTTGTTTAGAACTGTTTATACAGGGCGTTGATTACAGGGTAACACAAAAAATTAAAGGAGTCTATTTATTTCATGTTAATTAGAAACGAATTACTGGTATTACTAATATTGCACTGCACCTATCCAAAGTGATGTACGTGTCCTTGTAAAAATGATGATGATGTCGTCACTAAATTTTTTAAACGAAAAACTCATCTGAAACATATACTTCTTCACATTTATTTAAATATTGTATACATATCTTGTTTTGTTCTCATAAAAACAAAATCCCCAAAATAAAATTTTGTCTGGATATGTTTTATTGTTCTACAAGGGCAAGAAAACTTCTGTCGAAATAACCTTGAACTAATTTTTGTATATAACATTTATGTTTTCAGCTCTTGTGTTTTGTATACTTTATAAGCGCATATTATGGGAGTTAAACTCTCTCTCATTTGTCTTAATTTGGAAGTAAATCAATTAAAGCAAATCCAATTTGGGTGTGTTTTTATAGTTTAGTAGTTAGTTACGAGTATTTAGTATCTGTTGCTACGATTACTAAACAGTGTGCTTGTTACACCAACTCTTTCTTCTTGCAGAACCCATCGAAAATGACGCACATCCTCTTCCCCGCCTTCCTACGGTGCCGAAGCCACAATGCCACCAAACTTCCAGAATACGGTCGTCCTCTTCATGTTAGTAATCCAGCTATTTGAGCCCTCCTCGTCAACCGCAAACCAAGATAAACGCATATCGGCGTTCTTGAACGGCGATTTCATAATCGGTGCCTTATTCCCAGTGCACCTACCGCCGTCATCAACTAAACAACCCGTTGCCAGTTTGGGCATCAAATGCGGAAAAGTCCGGGAGCTGTACGGCATTCAAAGGGTGGAAGTCACGTTCCAGACATTAGACAGAATTAATAAAGATCCGAACTTACTGCCTAACCTCACATTAGGGGTGGAGATACGAGACGAGTGCTGGTACGCTCCGGTGGCCCTCCAGCAGAGCATCGAGCTCATAAGGGATGCCATCACTCCGGTGTCTTCCTACCTGGACACGTGTCACAACCTCACAGGCGGGCAGCTGACGGGGGAGGCGGGGCAGCGGGGGCCGCTAATTGGGGTGGTGGGGCCCGGCTCCAGCTCGGTGGCGCTGCAGGTGCAAAACCTTCTGCAGCTGTTCCACATGCCCCAGGTGGGGTACTCGACGACGTCGAGAGATCTGTCCGATAAGAGCAGATTTAATTACTTTATGCGGGTGGTGCCGTCGGATTACTACCAAGCGCAGGTTATGCTGGATATTGTGAGGCATTACGGATGGACGTACGTCTCGGCTGTCAATACGGATGGTAAGTTTTAATGGATAGGGTGAAGGCGTAAAAAGTGGGTTTCGGGGTGATGAGGATGAAACGTTTTTTAATAAAATACGAGGGTAGCTCATATTTTATTGTTTATGATGCATACAAGACGTTGACTGACAAATAAAAATTGGGTTTTTACAGTAAAGGAGTTTGCGATCTAGGAAATCTTCGAAATATAAATTATTCATAAATAAGTAGGTAGTTATTTTATGAATAATGCTCAGTTTCATTTTGTATCAAGATAAACTTTCAAAATCTCTCTAAATAAAGCTGCACGTTCAAAGAAACATGAAGGACAATATTTCTTAAAAGTATATGTAAATTCCATAAACTCTTCTCCGTAGGAGCCTTTAACATGTATGTTGGTATTGCGTCATGTTGAAAATGTTACGAAGAGAACTCGTACTAGATCCTGAATAAACTAAAAATACAATGACGAATGGCAAATTTCAGGTAGATAACAAGACTTATTGCAATACAGAAAAAATGTTGGTCTAAGTCTGCAGAACAATCAAGCAATTTTGGTTTATTAAATAAATTATAAAGTTAGATTTTTCGCCACTTTTATTTCATTTATTTTTTTTAACATAACCTCTATAAGTTAAAGTAAAGATATGGGTGTATTGTTCAACTACAGGTAAAGAAGCATACTGTGCATATATTTCAAGTGAGTTTTCATAATAAAATTTTATTATGACGTCATCAACTTTTTAGCACGGACACATATATCAGTTTGAATAGGAACAGTGTAATACTAATGACAACGGTTTTTTCCTTAAGGTCAATATATAAACTTGTCGCTGACGTTGCTGTTCGCCGTTGATGTTGCCGTTGTAAGATAAATACGCAGCGAAGGTATGCGTCGTTTATATCATCCGTTGACGTTGCCCTTGTTGAAAGTTGGCACGTCGTTGGGTTGACATTCGAGATGAGGTCGTGTGCACTACTGCCAACTTGAAGGAAAATCCCCTGAAGTAGGGGGGATATTTTTCTGGCTGACAGCACTAATTCCACGAAAATCAAATTTTGATAGAGATAATGAGGTCCACTAATATTAATCCATTTAATCATCTGTTCAGCGAAACCCTAATATTTTAAATAGCTGCTATCATTTTCTGCACTGTAGCTTTCTGTCAGTATTTATGCATTGTTAAAGATAGTTCTCGACCTTTAAATCAACAAGATTTATTGCTATTCCTCTCAAAAACAGATTAGGTATTATAATTACAAGGGCTTACATTTTGCGCTTTTTTCTTAATATGTGTAGTCTTCTTTTCACAACAAGAAAGGTAAAACATGTTTAAAATGGTACATTTTTGTAGGAAAGTATAGATTTTGTAATTAAGCTCCGCCCCTCGGTAAGACAACGAATGAAAAATTCATCAGGACTGAGATCGAGACGGATGGGTGGGGCTTCTCTTTTGTTTTTTTTTGTTAATTAATACATTATTAGTTTTCTTTGTATAACACGATTACATAAGAACATATTTCACATGGTAATTTCTCGTAGAAAAATGAGAATTTTACAATTAAGCTCCAACCCTCGGCTTACGACAAATAAAAAAAATCATCAGATATGAAATAGGGCGGCTGGGCTAAATACATAGCCATCTTTTCACAACATGAAACTTAGAACACTGTTAAAATGGTACATTTTTGCAAGGAAATATGGATTTTGCAATTATGGGGCGGAGCCTAATTGCAAGAACGATATTTTCTTATACAAATTTTCCATTTTAAACATGTTTTAAGCTTCATGTCAAGAAGTCTACAAATATTAAAACAAAAAGGCAAAATGTAAACTCGCCCACCCACCCTATCTCAATTGTGATGATTTTTTTTTATTCGTCGTGAACCAAGAGGGCGGATCTTAAATGCAAAATACTTATTTCTTTACAAGAAATTAAAAACTTGCCTTTAAGTATCGTGTTATTCAAAGAATACTATGTATATTAAGCAAAAAGGCAAAATCTAAAACCCCGCCCACCCACCCCATCTTAATTCTAATGATCTTTTTTATTCTTAGAAACCTTAAACACGTTTAAAATGGTACATGTTTGTAAGGAAATATGGATTTTGCAATTAGGCCCCGCCCCTAGGTCTGCCAACGAATGAAAATTTCATTACTATTTAGATCAGCGCAGGTATGGATGGGACTTAACCTTTGGCTTTAATTTTTTCTTAATATACATAGTATTACATTTTGCGTTTTTTTCTTAATATGTGTAGACTTATTTCCGCAGCAAGAAACTTAAAACATGTCTAAAATAGTAAATTTTTGTAGCAATCAACTTTAATCCTGCAGTTTTCTTCTACATACAACTCCTTTAAATACGGCAAAATTGAATCTCAAAGTTACTTCAACGGCAACTTGACAACGGAGTTTACAAATAACAATTTTCAGTTCTAAAAGCAACGTCAGAGGACCAGCAACTGCAACGGGAATTCTAACGTTAACAGCATGTTTATAAATCCCACTTTATTCACTAATAATAACATATATAATATAATATATTGATAAACCACGGGTATAGACTCATAACATTTTGCACAATTTAGATAGGGTGATACACGTATATCCAGCAAACTTTTGAGGTGAAGTCATCAAGTTCTTGGGGATGATAAACAGATAAATTTTGTTTAGCTATACTTAATGATAACCTTAAAACGATTACAAGATTTCAGAACATTCGGTTCTCTATTTTTTTTAAATTACAAGATATTAGTTTTATTTTTCAAAAATCTTAATGTGTAAGATAAAAAATAATGGCCACAGATATGGAAGTACTTTTTATTAAATCTAAATATCACTTACTTTGCAAAATTTTGAAATGATCTCTTTAAATTGTTGACGGAGATAATTAGACACATTTGTCTACACGGTATTTCTAAAATACGTCTAACTAGAATTTCACATCAATCAGTCCAGTAGTTTCCGCGATTGTCTGCATAATAAAGAGGAGATGGCAGACATACGGAAACAGGAAATCTACTATGTGACACTCTAAAATTTTCAAATTTCGTTTTCTCTGAAATACAACGAAATCACATTATGTCATGAAGCATTCTTCAAATTAAATAATAAGACAATCTATAAAATAAAATGATTTGATATATTTTCCGAGTAATTTTATCGAAGCAGTTTTTATAAATTAAAAGCATATCACTAAAGTGCAAGCAAGTGCAAAAGATTTCGTTTTTTTACGTTATCAAATTTTCGAAAAGGGTCAATAAATAAATGTTTTGTAATCTCTAAATCAATATTAGGTAAGAATTATGCAATTTTCCTTGTAGGATTTGCAATATCAAATAATGACGGAAAAAACCGTGAATATAAACACGATATATAAATATGTAAATATATTGAAAGAGATTCTGTAAGGTTTCGAAAAGATAACAAGGGTTTTCCATATTTTTCTTTGTAAAACTCACATTTGATGTGTTTGACTCCAAAAGTAGGTCTGAGTCAATAAGGCACCCCTTGATATCATATTACTTATCAGACAAGAAAAAATTGGTCGAAGCTTAGTTCGACAGGACGTCCCTCTCTCTTGAAATATAATCCGACAAATCGAGCTCTTTAAAAAAATTGTAAAACTCGAATTTACGATTTTCGTTTTGAAATAACCTCTGTAAAGTAAAAATGGAAAATATATTTAAAGCACAGAACTAACGAAATAAAATATCCTTCAGCACTAGGTAATAGCAATCTGAAGCTCAAGTGTTTATGTATGTTTTTACACCGAAAGAATGTCACGTAGAAATTAGTTTGATTTGAATGAGTTTGTCTTCTCAAAACAGATGGCCAAAATTTTTAATTAAACCACAATCGAACAAAATGATCTGAATATTATAATCTCATTTTATCATTATTATATAAAGACGTGCATATTCCCACATTTTCGAGAAAATGGGGTGACTCGTTCTTAATTTGACCAATAAAAAATTTGTTATGACGTCATCAAAAAAAGAAAAAAAAATGAAAAAACAGAAGGCCAAGTCTAGCATCGAACCCGGCACTTCCGGTCCGAATTCCGTATTCCAATTGACTAGACCACAATCGGGATGTCTTACGCTAATGGTAAACTGGTATTACATCGTGCATTGCTTTTGCGAAAATTTGGACGGTTAGGGAAAAAACTCAAAACGGATTCGTCCACCACACGTATAGAGGTGCATTGTTGTATAACAATTAAATCAAATAAACATAGAATTTTTTGCAATGACATCATCAAATTGTTGGTGGAGATGATTAGCAAAATTTTGGTTAGGATTTAACCATCTAAATGACATTTATAATATACGTACAAAATTTGACACAACAATTGGTTCAACAGTTTCGGAGATTACGTGCCTAATAAAAATAGATACAGACACCAAACAGACCGACAGACAGACACACACACACAGAGAGAGAAAGAGACGGAAACGGGGACTACTTTTTTCGTACTGTAGGGGTCATGAAAATATAAAAGTGGCCATTCGTCCGATGGGCCCGATTACTATACGTCCTTAGCTTATGCTCGGGAAAAATCAAAGGACAAAACTCTTTCAACATATAAACTAAAATTATTTTCTAAGATACAGAACGTTCTGTTTTTGAGGCGCAACATACAATTTGTTTTTTTTTTTTACTGAACAGCCTGTATATTATATACACTGATGAGTCTTGAGTCTTAAGCTTTATAGATATATTTTTTATTTTTGAAATTCGGGTGTAATGTTGCCCAGTTATTCCACTTTTCTTGAAATTTTGACTTTTTTGCTCCAGAAATGTGTGATTTATGAATCCATCTCAAGTTATTACCCTAGACATGCAGATTTTTGAAAAGAAAAACAAAAGTATGTACCATTATGTAATTTAACTTTGAAACTGCAAAACCAAATGCTCTGCAATTTAGATTACACGTTAAAATTTGAGCAAAGAACACCTACTATTCAATAAATTACAAATCGTATGAGCACCACAATATTAAGAATGTATGCTT